CGCGGGCTGCCCAAACCCGGGCTCCTCATATCGTCTGAACCTCGACGTATGTCGTTGAAGGTTGGTGATGTGATGGTTAGTGGTGATGCCTGCGAGTCTCCAGACTGAGGCCGTATTGTAGAAGCGCTGGTGTCTAATTTTGGCCCGGCGCGTAGCCTAGCAAATCTCTCGTTCAGTCCTTCGATGGCCGCTTTGCTTGACCCATTTGCAGCCAGGTTCGTAGATGATCTTGACTGTTGGATTGGTGTAGATGATATGGCCTTCCGTCCAATTACATAGCTTTCATATTCCGAGGGAGTCCGGCTAACTGTAGGGCGCGTAGGGGTGGATGTCGCTGGTTGCTTCGGGCTTGAGGATGCCGAAGAGGCGGGCAAACGAGGTTGCGTACCATTCCTTTGGTTGTCATTCTCTATGATCTCTTTTACGTTCGTGAATTGCTCTTCGCGACTGGTAAGACGCTAGTGTAGGTCAGCTTCTGCGAAAGATCGGGAGTAGCGGATTAGCTCACCTTTATGAGGTAGTTGTACCGCGAATAGGCCGGACTCCTGCCATTCTTAAAGTCCGGAAAGCCAGGGTTTTGGTAGATGAAAGTGACGAGGATTTCGTAGCATCGTAAATATTCCGTGTATGCAAGATCTGGTTTGCGGTATTCGAGTAGGGTGACGGCTTGACGGAGGGCATTCTCGGCGGCGGTGATGAGATGATGAATGGACTGGTTCTTGTCCAGACCGTCTACAGCTCGTTGTTGGAGATCTTGGATGTGCGCAAGAGGTTGGGTTGACTTGTTCGGCGACTTGTGCGCAGACTGACCACTAATGGTGCTGCCATTACTGTAGCGGGTGCTATTGCGGGCGCTGTTGGCGGCACTGGATTGAGTCGAGAACGGGCCTCCCGTTGGAGGCGACGGGAGGCTCATATTGCCTGCAAAAGCCTCTCGACAAGGCTCTTCATCGCTGATCGGCGCAAAGAGAAGTCGGTCGAGAATGGATGAAGTGGAGTGACTTGTTTCCCGGGGTCAGGCGTTTCAGGACGTTGCGAATTGACGGAGGCGGGCGGCTATCGGGGAGGGAAGAATCAGGACAAGCAGTGGTTGTCTCAAGCGAGGTGTATTCGAGGCGAGGCTGAGCGAGTCGCAGGGAGAGGTGTAGAATGGTGATAGATGGCGCAGAGATAGCGGCGAACTCGGAGCTTGGTATAAGCGATTCGGACAAGGGTATAGATACTAGGGCATGACGTTGGCCGCCAATGCAGGTTTGAAGGTTACGGATACGGTTAAAGCTGCCGCCTGCTTGGGGGGCAGCTCTCTGTCACACTGGCCGAAACACATGCATTACTGACAAAGCATAAGAAATTCAGAGTACGCTGAACTACCTCCATACACACCGAGTATTTCGTAGACTTTTGTAGTTCTACGTGTCGTGTCTGTGGACACATCTATATTCCTAGATGAGGGATCGCGGGAGCATTGCGGGCGGTTAGAGTTGCCAGATGCAACCTCTCTTCTCCTCGCCTGCCTTCGCTACACGAGACGCGCGCCAACGCGTCTTCCAAAACTTGCGTGCAGAAATTATAATATATCTACCACCACCATTTTTCTGTCCCACTCGGAATACGATCACTATGAGAGCAGGATGAACGATCCAATTCATGCCAAAAAGGCCGTCAAAACATATTCAAAACTGGACAAGCGCCGAAGATCAGCAACAGAGCAAACCGGAGAGACAAAACGACGTCGAATTGAAGAAGTTGTGCAGCCGGAGGCTTCGAAGCCTACGCCCTTTTCGACTTTGAAAGCATGGCTCAAGAGCTCATCGCCATGCCCATCTCTTCCATCCACACCGGACTATCGTTCAAATAGCGCACCCATCTTCTCCGATGGCCTTCAATCATGCCTCACTCCTCCATCATCACCGCCAAACCTGCCGATTGAACCGGCCGCTCTCCAGCCTTTTGATCGGGAAGTCCTCGCACCAATTACCGGAAACCTAACTAGAGAAGCAAGATCTCAGCTGGTCCAAATGCAGATCAACCTCGGTTCGAATCTCCAGAAAACTTGCAAGGATTGCGGCATGACCTACGTGAAATCAAATGCCGAAGACAGCGCACTTCACGACAAATTCCATGCTCGACACCTGAATGGACTGGACCTTGGAAAGCCATTCCGCAAATTCGCAGAACCACGCGCACTCTGGCGAGCGCAAGGGCGAGGAGATGCGCTGGTGATCGTTGTGGATGCGAAGAACGGAAAGTTCGAGCGTGGAAAGGTTCGAGAAGTTCTGGGAATTGTGCAAGCAGAGTTGGGAGCAGTTGAGATTTCCAATGACGATCTCTGGTCTATCCTAGGTGACAGCTATGCTGGTAGGACGGCATCTGATGCAGACTTCGCGACTATTGGTCAAAGTCTCTACAGAGCTTTTCTGTACCTGGAAGGAACAAAATGCGTCGGCCTTTGCCTGGTAAAGCGTATCTCCACTGGTCGCAAGGTAGTTCCTTCGGAGCCCTCTGAGGATGGTATATCCATTGCCGACGAAACGTGTAGCGCGGACGTAGGCATCTCCAGGATATGGACTTCCAAGCGCCACAGGCAAAAGGGGGTTGCTCGTACCCTGCTTGATGCTGTCGCGAACTCGGTTGATTCGAGACGGCCAGTGAGCAAAGACCGGTTCGCCTTCAGTCAGCCCACGACAGCCGGAGCCAGTCTCGCGCGCCGCTGGTTCGGCCAGCAACATGGCTGGCTGGTGTATTTAGATTAACGAGTCAACCACGATTAATGACACTCATTCCTTTCATTTCGAGTCTTTATATGTCCAGTCCTTGCACTCGAAGTTGGCATAGCACCAGAACTCATTGCTGAGACCCTTTGTATGTTCAGGTAGGAAAGTGGTCGTCTTGACGCCCGCTTTGCCATACAGTCGATGTATAAGCGTCTCCATGCGTTCCCCAGTACAGGAGATGAACTTAAGCTCGTCCCACGACTTCGCCATCCAGCGTGCTGTGAGTGCTGTCTTGGTTTGACAATCCTCGTTGAGGAACGGCGGATCGCAAATCATGCGATCGAACTTTCCCTTCAACTTCGCATCCAGCTTCACCGGTTCGTTGTAGTCATAGTGGACAAAATCGTTCTTGAATACCGCAAAGCGGTCGTCGAATTCGAGGAGCTTTACCTGCGGCTTGACAGGATACTTGGAATCGTCCTGCAGAAGGGCCCTCATGCTAACGTAGACACTGGGCGCTGAGATGATTGCGATATGCGTATCCGCTGTGGCGCCGTCTAGCAATTGCTCGGCCAGAGTGGTCGCAGTAGCATCTGTGTACCAAAACTGCGAAGCTTGCCAGTCTTCTCCGAACTGCTTCATTGAGATAGCGGCGTTAGCTGCAAATCCCTCCTCAGCGGCTGCCTGAAGGTCCGCAAACTGTTTTTGATGTGCATCTCGATCGGTGTAAAAATCCTGCAACGCAGCCAAAGCAGAGGCATTCAGCCGCCTGATATAAATTAGACTCGACCGACCATGCAATACTCACATGACTTACGGGATATCGTCTTCGGCGTCCATTGCCGGTTTAATTTAGCGTGATGACCACAGAGGCGACGGCGAGATTTGTGATGCTAAGTGCGTGGTGGGGATGCGACTCAACCGAGGTTGACGCTGATCGAGCATTCTTCTTGGGACAAACAGATCTCATGATGTTCATCCCCAACCAATTGTATATACATCTCTGCTTAAGTCCATAATTTATTGGAGACCGAGCCAATATCTAATGGTCATTCGCAGAACCTAAATACCGGGGTCTTTTTGACTTGTGGCATCTTGGAGGTCAAGATCCCATAGTCTCGCAAGACATCATTTGATCTTACCGCACTGCACTCGTATATGTTCAGGAAAATGGCGTCGTCGCTAGTCTCGCTCCCCGAGGTCGAAAGGCTCAGTCCTCGAGTGATCCGTATCCTCGGAGGAAACCCTGGAAAAGTGAGCAATCATCTTCCATGAACTGCCCTCTATCTCGCCTGACCTTTTAAAGTACACACTACAAGGGACCAACACCTACCTTGTGGGGACCGGAAAATCACGTCTACTATTAGACACCGGTGAGGGCAAGCCCGCTTGGGCAATATCTCTGAAGAAAGTACTAGATCAGGAGAATGCATCTATTGAGCGCACCATCCTCACACACTGGCACCACGACCATGTTGGGGGCATCCAAGATGTGCTAGCACTGTCGCCGAATTGCCCGATCCACAAGAACCGACCCGATCAAGGTCAGTCAGACATCGAGGATGGCCAGACTTTCGAAACTGAAGGTGCGACTCTACGGGCATTCTTCAGCCCTGGTCACACAGTAGATCACATGGCCTTCGTTCTGGACGAGGAAAACGCCATGTTTACTGGCGACAACGTGCTCGGTCAAGGCACAGCCGTATTCGAAGATCTGAAGACATACATGGACAGCTTAGAGAAGATGCAGTCCGCCTTCTCTGGTCGAGCTTATCCCGGTCATGGGCCGGTTCTGGAGGACGGCAAGGCCAAGGTGCAGGAGTATATCAAGCATCGGATGGAGAGAGAACAGCAGATCCTCGGAGTGCTGAACGATCAGCCACATGACAGGGACGAGGGATGGACGAGCATGGAAATGGTCAAAGTCATTTACAAGGACTATCCGGAGCATCTCCATGGTCCTGCCGAGGGAAGCGTGATGCATGTCCTAAAGAAGCTCGAACGCGAAGGGCGTGCAACACAGGACGGTAAATTGTGGAGCTTGGTATCAAAAGAGAGACTTTAATGAGAATGAATGACCAGTATGTAAGCTATCTATCATTATGCATACATACGACTGAGGATCATGTGAAGTGAAACGTTTTCTGCATTGTATCTTGCATTCAAGATTCGTCTCGAAAAATCGCGTAGCACTACATTCCCCCCCAAGAAAATCTAGATCTACCTGGTAATGTTGTTGTCGCAGAGGACAGCTGGCGGAAGAAAAAAAAGAGACAAAAGAGAAGTCGACACGAGCAGGATTTGAACCTACGCATCCGAAGATAGTAGATGACAAGAACATAACACCAACGATTACTCGCCAATATCGGCATTCAAGTCTACCGCCTTAACCACTCGGCCATCGTGCCATGATTGGAATTCCGAGAAACAAAAAATATATATGCTACACGTTAATGTCAGTTTTGCAGCGCCGTTGTCGATGTTTCCAAAACCAGTCCCCAACGTAGGCATGATCTACAGCACGGAAACCATGGGAATTGATATGACGAAACACGAACAACGCTCCCAAGTAATGCAGTGCAAAGTGCGACAAAGTGCGGATGGTCTTTCGACAAAAAATAGCGCCCTAGTGGAGCCGGGGGCCCCATTCTTTGGTTAAAGAAGAGACAAAACTTTAACCATTTCGCTCGCTACCATGGTTGATTGCAACAAAGCACGATTTCTGCAGCCTCAGGGCAGGTACCATCGATCTATCCTTGACATTGACGGGCTTCCATTCGTGTATCCATTGCTTGATCAAAATAAAACCTCCTTGTTCTTGTATCCGTCGCTTGTTTCATATGACGTCGCCCCAAAACCACGATCCGTGTGGCATGCAGCCGCCGCAGACAACACAGTAATGTTCCTCCACAGAGTGGTCCACGCAAATGGCCGGCCCGTCATGGTCTTGGTCACTAGTGAGAGGCAAAAATTTTGTTGCAGAAGACTACCACGAAGTTGAAAATGCACTCAATTTCCTGGACTTGCCAGGGTTCAAAGTCAAGGAGAAAATTGTCTATGACTGCAGCATGTTTATTCCTTGAAGAGGTTTGTCCTGTGCTGCCGAAGATGTCGCAGCTCAATTAGAAACGATACAATCCTCCGTAAATTCGCAGTCCCTCATCGTCACTTCGAATAGTTTTCTGGCCATGGCTTCGCACTTACGGCAGATGCTCGGATTCTTCAGCAATCCTGCAGCACTTATGAGCCATGTTCACCAGAGTCCAAGATGCAAAGTTGAAAGGTAAGCGTAGTGTACGGTTGAAGAAGAATGACACTATTCCAACAATGTCGACCTAGGAGAGGTTGTGAAGCCGATCGATCGGCGTTTCGAGGTAGTCGTACAACAACGCCCTCATCTCATGAAGGCTCACAGAGAAAGAAGCGTTAAGCCAAGTGGTCGTCTGGTGAACTGCTAAGGGTTCGTGAATCAGACTTGCCAATGCTGTATGAGATGGCTGCTCAAGAATTGCTTTGCTGTGTTGCAGATACTGCTGTTAGTAAACCCGTGTTGCATACACTAAGCCTTTGAGGTCCTCGAGGTTCAGTATATACAGGATCTGTTGGCGAAGCTCAGGGAGCAGTAGCTTGAGCCTGAAATTGATGTCTTGTGCGGAGGTTTCACTGAGTGCCGAGGCAAGAATGTGTTGTTGTGGGTCTTGTGTAAGGATTCGAGAACGATGATTATGAACGACCGGAATCAAACGAAGAGGGTGGATGATAAATCTTGATGTGCAGAATCTTTTCAGTATGATGAAGCCATCAAGTCAAATCCCGATGCCTAAAAATCGTAGGGATTGTAGGGTAGATCGCAAAATTGGGAGGTGAAAAGTGAAAGCCTCACAGGAGCAAAAGCAGGATGTGGAAAGGACATGTACGCATGAAATTGTTCACTTTAAGCAGCCACTGCTTGTGATAATTCTCACCGTCCTACCTTCTCAGACCTTATGTGATACGTACGTGACGCCATTATGCTTTGTGTAAGGATCTACTTTTGGCAGACAAGTGGAGGAGAACCAACAAGGACGGATGGTAGGAAGACATCCGCCCAAAGCCCCGAGACGTCCGAGTTTCCCCACAAAAAAGAACCCCAACAGTGGGCCCGTCCTTAAATCCGGCGGCGGGTTTCACATGTTGCCATAACTTATTGCATTTCCTTGGAGCTCAAAGGCTCCGTATCACCGCTGATATGACAGCAGCCGCTTCCCGGTGATCAAGTCATCAGCAAAATCCCGGATTGCGGCGATGGAGACGGTCACGCTTGCGCCTTCATCGGCGACCACAACATCGCCGAAGCTGACCAAGAAGCCGTCGTTGACCGACATCCGGTATCCCAACTCGGAGAAGAAAGTCTATGGATGCGGTCGGTGTTGCTCAGTATCTGACGCGACCTCTATCTGACCCGTCCAGACCATGTGAAAGAGCTGCTCGAGCAGGCACGCGCCGACGCCCTGAAACAGTATAGACGCCTGGTCCAGGCCATCAATAAAGACAAGAACGTCGCCATCCGGTTACCCAAAGCCACCGGCGCTGGACAGTCTGTATACAGCCTGCGCCCAACATGGCTCTGTTTACAGTGTCCCAACGTGGCTACAACAGAGACAAGGGATTCGCACGACAAGAACCACAAGTTTTGTGAGAATGGACACGAGGAATCCAAAAGAGCCGAGACTGATACTGCATACCAGGTGCCGAGTCTTCTTCCGCACACCTCTACTGCCGAGCATGTGCAGATATAGTCCACGATCCCACCCTTGACGAGATTCGTCAATTGCGCGGTCGAAAGCGCTCTCACTCAGTCTTCCGCTCCGACGTTGACACAAAGATCCTCGCCGCAAACTCCTCGCCTGTACCATGCCGCGCTCTCGGCCTGCGAGGCATGTACAACATGGGCCAGACGTGCTTCATGTCTGTAGTTCTCCAGTCGCTCATCCACAATCCCTTCATCCGCGCCTACTATCTCTCCGAATCCCACCGCTCCTCCGAGTGCGAACGCGAATGCTGCACCTCCTGCGCCTTAGACGACATATTCTCCGAATTTCACAGCCAAGAAAAAGCCGAAGGCTATGGCATGGTAGCCATGCTCCAGTCCTCCTGGCGGGGCGGCGGCTCCCTCGCAGGCTACCAACAGCAAGACGCACACGAATACCTCCAATTCATCCTCAACAGCCTGCACAGCGCAAACATCGACCCCGACGAAAAAGAAGACAAAGCTGAAGACTGCGCATGCATCATCCACCGCACCTTCTGCGGCGTCCTTCAATCGACCGTCACATGCAGCAAATGCAAAAATGTCACCACCGCTCGCGACCCCTTCATGGACCTAAGCCTAGACGTGCGCCAGCCTGGCCAGAAGAAGAAAGAGAACAAGATCTCCATGACGACGGGCAAGGACAAAGGCGACAAGGATAAGTCCTCCGCGCCACCGCCCGCACCTGTCGGACTGACGGAATGTTTCGACCGCTTCACTGCGCCTGAGATGCTGGCGGCGGCAGACTATACGTGCACACGGTGTGCGTCCGCACAGCAGGCTACTAAAAGACTCAGTCTGGCACGGATGCCGCCGGTGCTGCCGGTGCATCTGAAGCGCTTTAGTCATAGCAAGAATAACGGGGCGAGCATCAAGCTGGACATGCGGGTGCGTTTCCCCATGACCGTCGATCTGGCGCCATATCTTACTGGGGCACCAGGAACAGGGCCCAAGGGTGGGAAGAAAGAAGTGAACGGGGAGAAGAAGGATAAGGACAAGGATAAGGACGGAAAGGAGAAGGATAAGGAGGAGGACAAGGGGAAGCAGCAGAAGCCTGTGTATGAGCTGAGCAGCGTGATCGTGCACAAAGGCAAGATGGACAGCGGGCACTATGTCAGCTTCTCCAGGGTGTATGACGAGTGGTTCATGTTTGACGACTCGAAGGTCGTGCTGGTGGATGAGAACGAAGTCTTGAATAGTGAGGCTTATATGTTGTTCTACGTCGTTAGAGACGTCGAGGTTTGAGCATGTCGGAAGTGTATTGTATCAACGTTGAAATTTGGACTTGATTTTCTATACACGGGAATATGCTTTGGTCTGTCTACTGGTCGTCGATGACGTGCAGATACTTCTTCTCCTCACGCTTCTCCTTCTCCGTCATGGGTGGTAGGTCGTAGTATGCTGAGCTACGGTACCCTTGCTATGAGAGTTGTTAGCATCGAACATCAACTGTCAAGGTCGACATCTACTCACCAGATACTTGAATGTGAACTTGGCAATATCGCCAGGCTCGATGCCCAGATCCTTGAACGTCTTGGCGTTAGGGTCTATGATCTGGTCAAGGTACTCCCTAATGACCTGGTCCTTGCTGCTTGTCGGCCACCATAGCACTTTGTTGAGCACATCGGCCAACGGCGCCATGATCTGACGGGGGATGTTGATGTGGCGACGCTGCTTCATGATCTCCTTCTCGACTAGCTCCCTAATCTCGCCCATCGTATACATCCTGGGTCCGTAGAGTTCGTAGGTCTGGCTGGCGGTAGAGTCATCGTAAAGCATGTGCTCGAGCGCCTCACCGACATCAATGACGTGGACAGGGGCAATCCTTTCTTGGAGGTTGTTCGACGTCAGGATGTTGCCTGGCTTGGCCAAACGATGTAGAAGCTTGTCCTCAAATCCGAACATGGGCGCCGGGCGGACGATGGTGGTCTCCGGGAATACGTCGCGTACCACTTGCTCACCACGAGCCTTTGTCCGGTAGAATTCGGATGGGGAGTCCAGCAGAGCCGAGTGTGATGAAACGTGCACGAAGCGATCAACGTCGTATTTCGCAACAGATTCAGCGATGCGGTGGGCACCATCGATGTGCACATCTTCAAAGTCAAAGTTCTTGGTAGTGTAGTCCCTGCCGATCAAGTTGTAGACGATATCCGAATGGCGGACAGACTCCTCGACTGATGCTGTGTTGCGCAAGTCCATTTCCTGACCACAATTAGTCTCTGACACATCCAGGAATGGTTGCGATGCGGCATACAACGAAGACCACCCTCCCCAAGTCTCCTGACACCTTCAAATGTCGCTTTGCCATCTCTTCCCGGAAGGGGACCACGACTGTGCATCCCGCCCTTGCTTTACGACTGTCAGAATATGGCACCAAAAACCCCTAGCGGACAGACTGACCGAGTCTATTGACAATATAGCGACCCAGAAATCCAGTTGCGCCGAACACAGTAGCAGTGTGCCCTATATCATGTTATTCGTTGTTGTGGAAGCCGATGCGGTCCCCGTCCTACCTCCTAGAGATGACCTGAACGCACGGTTAGCTTTTAGATCTGCTTGAAAAGAGTGTTCACACGAACCTTCCACCAGCGATACGGATAATCGGCTTTCCAGTCCTAG